CTCATCAAGCACTCGCTCAGAACCGCCCACCCAGCGCCACTTCGCTCTCGAAGACCGAGGTCTTCCGCGGACCCATTCAGCCTCAGAGGACCTCCTGACGCCACACAGACTGACGATGAAGCCAAAGGCCGCTCCCTCGGGCCTCCTTCCTCTGCGCCTCCCCCCCCCAAACCCCAACCAATACTCACTTCGCAGAGCTCTGGCCGTGCTGCTGGTGCAGGCAGCGCTCACGTTGTCAGCCTCGATGCAGTTGACGTAGTCGGCCACCGAGTTGGCAGAGTCCATCACCTCCACGATGGTGGCGCTGGACACGGTGCTCAGCCGCCCCACCAGCTTCTCCTCAGCTGGACTCCTCTCCACCACCAGGTCCTCCGGGGCGCATTCCAGGTCTGGCTGGCTCTGGGCGGCCGCCACGAGGACGACCGCGGCGAGGACGGCGAGGATCTGCATCGTCGGGAGTGTTGGAGCGTCCTGGAGAGCGAGGAAGTGCCCTGCCGGCCGCCCGCCCGCCCATTTATACTCGGCTCGCCTTTTTTCTCTGCTGCTTCCAAGTGGCGAGCGTTGCAGTTTTTTTTAGTGCAACCCTGCAATTACGTTTACATGTACATGACTCTTTCTTTCTCTCTCTCTCTATTTCTCACTTTATCACTCCCCTCTCTCTTTCTTTCTCTCTCACTTTTCTCTCCTTCTCCTCTTTCTGTCCTTCCTCTCTCTCTCTCTCTCCCTCTTTCTCTTTCTTTCTTTCTCTCCATATCCATCTTTCTCTCCTCTCTCTCTCTCTCCTCTCCTCTCTCCTCTCGTCTCCTCTCCCCCCTCTCTCTCCTTTCCTTTATTTCTAAACTTTATTTTAGTTCAGTACAGTCATTGACAATCGCGGGTCGTCTTTCTGCCAAAGCATTTAGTCATGAAAGCAAAACTGATCTTTATGACTCACGGAAAATTGGAGTAAAAAAATAAGCTTCACTGAAGGTAACTTTTTCTTTCTTTTTCCTCTTCCTCTCTCTCTCTCTCTGTCTCTCTCTCTTCTTTATTCCTAAACTGCAGCCTCCAAACGTGTACTGCTAATTTGAACTTGGAGACGCCAGTTCATTTCTCCTCCCCTTCCCCTCCTCCCTCCTCCTTCCCTCTCCTCCCCCTTCCTCTCCTCCTCCTCCTTCCCTCTCCTCCCCCTTCCGCCTCCTCTCCTCCTTGCCCTCTCCTCCCCTCCTTCCTCCTCCTCTTCCCTCTCCTCCCCCTCCCCTCCTCCTCCTCCTCCTCCCTCGTCCCCTCCTCTCTCCTTCCCTCTCCTCCCCTCCCCTCCTCTCCTCCTTCCCTCTCCTCCCCTTCCCTCCTCCTCCTCCTTCCCTCTCCTCCCCTTCCCCCTCCTCCTCCTCCTTCCCTTCCCTCCTCCCCGTCCCCCTCCTCTCCTCCTCCTTCCCTCTCCTCCCCCGTCCCCCTCCTCTCTCCTTCCTCTCCTCCCCCTTCCTCCTCCTCCTCCTTCCCTCTCCTCCCCCGTCCCCTCCTCTCCTCTTCCTCCTCCCTCCCCGTCCCTCCTCCTCCTCCTTCCTCTCCGCCCCCTCCTCCTCCTCCTCCTTCCTCCTCCCCCTCCTCCTTCCCCTCCTCCTCCCCTCTCCTCCTCCTTCCCTCTCCTCCCCCGTCCCCCTCCTCCTCCTCCTTCCCTCCTCCTCCCCCTTCCCTCCTCCTCCTCCTCCTCCCTCTCCTCCCCCTCCCCTCCTCCCCTCCTTCCTTCCCTCTCCTCCCCTTCCCCCTCCTCCTCCTCCTTTCCTCTCCTCCCGTCCCCTCCTCCTCCTCCTTCCCTCTCCTCCCCCGTCCCCCTCCTCTCCTCCTTCCCTCTCCTCCCCCTTCCCCCTCCTCCTCCTCCTTCCCTCTCCTCCCCCTTCCCCCTCCTCCTCCTCCTTCCTCTCCTCCCCCTCCCCCTCCTCTCCTCCCTCTCCTCCTCCTCCTCCCCCTCCTCCCCTCCTCCCTCCTCCTCCTCCCTCCTCCTCCCCCCTCTCCTCCCCCTCCTCCTCCTCTCCTTCCCTCTCCTCCCTCCGTCCCCTCTCCTCCTCCTTCCCTCTCTCCCCCCTTCCCCCTCCTCCTCCTCCTTCCCTCTCCTCCCCGGTCCCCCTCCTCCCCTCGTCCCCCCTACTCAACAGGACGCCTGTGACTCAAAGTGGGAACTCCTCCCCGACAGAAGGCGATACTGCGCGAAGGACCAACATGGACCGACGGAGGGAAAAAGGAAATCGCGAGAGCTAAACGAGAACGACTTTCCAGTTCGATCGCAATGGGAGATCTCTCTCTCTCTGTCTCTCTGTCTGCTGTCTGTCTCTCTCTCTCTCCGCCTTCTCTCTCTCTCTCTCTCTCACTCTCTCTCTCTCTTCTCTCGTCTCTCCTCTCTCTCTCTCTCTCTCATCCTCTCTCTCCTCCTCTCTCTCTCTCTCTCATCCCTCTCCTGTATGGTCTCATCTCTCTCTTCTCTCTCTCTCTCCTCTTCTCTCTCTCTCTTCCTCCTTTCTCT